ATTGATAAATAGCTCCTTGTGGCTAATGGGTACCATATTGGACAGTGCAGCTATACACGGCCATTACATTCTGTTGAAGCTTTTTAAGTTAACAGGGAGCATCCATTTTTACCTGTCACTGGGCTGGCTGCCTAACAGCACTTTTGTCATTTCTAGATATTGGTCTTAAGTGAATCCTTTGCCCTCTGCCCATTGATGACACTTTCATCAACATAATACTCTTCCAGGATGAGAAAATAACAAAATGATATTTAGACATTTTCACCTCATAGTTGCATGGTAGATCAATTCTTACCTTTGTTATAAAAGGCACTGATTGTCAATCTCTTTGAATCCAGTTCTCTCAGAGGCTCACTTTGTTCTATGAGTTGAAACATTAACTATAGCCCAGGTGTCTCAGCTTGGCCTTGTTGGAATCTCTGAGTCCTGGGCTCCATTTCAGATCCATTCTATCAGACTGTGTCTGGGAAGCATTTATTAAAAAAGAGAGAGAGAGGTCCCTAGGAGCTTCCAATGTATGACAGCGTTGAAAACCACTGATAAAGTCCAAACCACAAACCAGCCTTTGAGAATGTCTAAAATGCTGGCAGCAGCAAATACCATCTTCCTGGTACAGAGCAGGCTTGGGATCCTTGCCACTTTATGGATGTTCTGTTCAACAGATAATTGGAAAACACATAAAAGAAGAGGCCTTGTCAATTTGGATTTGGGGCAACTAAGCAGCCTTGCTGTTTCCTTCTGTGCAGGGAACTCTAAGCTAAACTAATGCTACTCGTATTGTTTGCTGGCATTCCTGTCCAAACAGAATTTGCCAGTTCTCATACAAAATAACCATGTTAACGATTTCAACAACAGTGATGGGTGCAGAAGCTTTCCACAGTTCCTTAGTAACCACTTAATACTAGGGTCATTATTTTGATGTTAAGGATGATTGTTGTCACCTTAGCACAATAATTGGAACATAACTTCCTATATGAAAACTGTTCTTTTCCTAGGCTTTCAACTGGTAACAAAATAACAGTTTTTAAGGGCAAGTAATGCCCCATTATTCAGGTGAGAGAGGCCCACCAGCTACCATGCAATCAAAGAATCTAGGGTGAGATCTTGAATGACCATCTCATCTGCAAAACAGTTCTGTCCAAATGGGAGAGTTTCAACTATTGGAGGCAAAGGCCCCGCATCTGTTTGTTAAGGCCTTCAAGGAAAACATGTGCCAACGCCTTACGACTTTGGTAGCTCCCCCAGAGCCTTATTGTCCATGGGCCTAGCTAAGGGGTATCATTGTCCATCTCCTGCATTCAGCATTCTCAATGAGTGGTTTCTAAAAGAAAATCTATTTAAAAAACCTACTTTTCCTATTTTCCCCTACTCTGGGTAAGAATTGGCAACATTTGCACTTTGGGAAAGTTAGAGCATCCCACCCAAAAGTGAACAATAAAATAATGTGAAATTATTAAGTTAATAAAATCTTCAGAAAATTCTAATTGGCAGAAAGGAAAACATGAACCATTTATCTTGAGCTCAGTAAAGTCGAAGGTCAGGAGAGGCCAGAGTTGAGAGTCAAGGTACTGAACTGAACTTGGGGTGGAGGGTGAGGATTGTGTCCTCTTTATTCTTTGGATCCCCAGCACCTAGTAGCTCACTCAAATGTGTATTGAATGTTTAAGACAGAAATGTATGCTAAACCTTAAGTTACAATGCAGGTCGAAGGCCACAATGCAAATATAAGTTACTCTAGAAAGGAGCATGGGGTACCTTCATACTGGATAGCTGGAAGTGAATCACAGCTTAAACACTGCGGTCAACATGCAAGGACCAAACCAAAACCAAAAGACACCTACCAGACAATGCCGAGAATAGGCAGGAAACAGATTCTGCCTGGTAGCCAGAAACTGTATTCCAGAGCTTGTTTCAGCAGGAACACATCCAATGATCAAAGACTTTCCTTAGCCCTGGCTGGTGCAGCTCAGTGGATGGAGAGTGGGTTGTGAACCAATGGGTCGCCGGTTCGATTCCTAGTCACTTCCTCTCCTCATGGATCAATTTGCATGTATATTTGGGTCAGACACCTCCACTCACAGCTATTCTGTGCTTCTCTTAAGACTCAAGAGAAACATTTAAGCAGATTCATCACAAGTAGATGTAGGAATGTTTAAATGAAAAACATGTATATTTTCTCCTGCATGAGGGTCACTGTTCCTCAACTCTGTCAGGACCCAGAAGAAGGCTCAAGTGCTTATGATCACTGTCTTCTATTATCTCATGGTACACAGAGTAAGGTACCACCCCTGAACATGTCCACATCCTAATCCTCTGAATCTGGGAATATGTAGTATTCCATGGCAAGAAGGAATGCATATTGCTGATGACTGTAACACAGGGGTATTTTCCTGAATTATCCAGATGGGCCCAATGTAATTACAACAGTCCTTATACATAGAGGAGGGAGGCAGAAGTGTCAGAGTAATGTGATGTGAGAACCACTGGACTGGCCATTGCTGGCTCTGAGAATGGAAGGGGCCACAAACCAAGGAATGCAAGTGGCTTCTAAAGGCTGGAAAATTCAAGAAGACGGGTTCTCCCCCAGAGCCTTCAGACAGGAATTCAGCTCTGCCTACTCCTTAATTTTAGTCCAGTAAGATCCATTTTGGGCCCCGGCTGGTGTAGCTCAGTGGATTGAGCACTGGCCTGTGAACCAAAGGGTTCTTGGTTCAATTCCCAGTCAGGGCACATGCCTGGATTGTGGGCCAGGTCCCCAGTAGGGGGGGTGTGAGAAACAACCACACATTGATGTTTCTCTCCCTCTCTTTCTCCTTCCTTTCCCTCTCTCTAAAAATAAATAAAATCTTAAAAAAAAGATCCATTTTGGACTTCTGACTTCCAGAATTGTAAATAAATGTGTTGTCTGAAGCCACTAATTTGTTACAGCAATAGGAAACTAATACACACCTATTCAACTTCTGTCATCTCTTCTTAATCCCTGGGTACCTGATACAGAAACAAGTGGAAAAACAATCCAAGACTCAGTTGTGTTAATGTTGATTTGTGGTCAGGCTAGTAAATAGTATATTGTCAGTGCCTGTGCACTAGAAACGTGATTCCAGGTGAGAAACACTGGTTATCCCCTCAAGCTGTGTAATGAGTCAGCTCCTGCCACATGCATGTTCAAAGGTTTTCTTTGAACTTGGAAATGTTAGAGTGACAAGTTCTTAAGTTGAAAAGGCCCCTGTGGAAATGGTAAAGTATCCCAATTCTTTCAGGTATGGATTAACTCTTAAGAATGGAAGGTTATATATTAAATATTTTAGTAATGTCTAAATTCTGCTTTTATTAGTAAAGTAACTGCAAATCAATCCCCTTCCCCATGCTTCCCAGAAAGATGATAAATGTAAGGAGAATAAAAATTGCTTATAGGAGACAATACAAGCCACCCCTACTCTGAACATTTTTCTCACATTTGGTCAACTTGCAGCTGAGATTCAGCCAATACAGTGGGCTTTCTAGAATATAAATTATGGCAGTTCAAGAGGGCCTAAAATACAGATCAATTAGCACCTACAGATATTTATGCCTTTAATATTTTCAAATTTTACTGGTTATTTATTGGTTTTTACTCAATGCTTTCTTAAAGAATTTGATCACAGGATATACTTTGGTGCTTATGAACTGTCATGTTTTGTTTGAAAACCATCTCTGAGGGAGTCTTTTTTTCCATCTAATGGCTCTTGCTGAATACGTAAAGAACTGGCTTAAATATTCAGCTTCAATAGCCAACGAGGACTCCAATATTAGAGGACTCTGGGTGTATATGTGTGAACAGTTTTGATAGTGTACCTTTTAACCTCAGGTATTGTATTTATTAACAAAGGATATTTCTCTTTGGGGGCAAATGTCAGAGTTCTTAAACATGAGAGTTTGGTTATGCCTTACTACTGATTGTTTTGCCCTTGAAAACATTTCTGAGGTATCATGGAAGTCAAAATAAAACCTGTAACTGTTACTCTAAATACAGCCTGTCAAGAATGTGTTTGATCTGTGTGGCAAAGCCAAGTCATATGGTCTATGAATAACAGGTGTTGTGTTTTTAAGTGAATTCCTTTGCTGACTACAGGCCTGGTTTTATTTCTCCTAGAGTCAGGGTTAACGTTAGAGCTGTTGTTATTTCTAAGAGCTAAACATCACCAGATGGAGTTAATAGCAGCTCCTAAATTTGGCTCGTGGAGGGCATGAGCACATTGTCAGAACATGAGCAGGGTATGTGTTTGTGTGTGTGTGTGTGGGGGGGGTCTGCCTTAATTGTTGACATTTGGGATCCTGATTTAGCACCTCCATCCCCATTTATCAGCTTCCAGCTGATCGCAGGAGCTTTTCCCCAAAGATGGAAAAGAGTTCAAAATGGCCACTGCCGCACGTTTCGGTACAGGTGAAAAGCATCGTCAGATCTAAGAAAGGTGGGTGGAGCACGAGGTCCGGTGCAGCCCCTAGTGTGAGGAGTGAAACCAGCTACTGATGTTGGCAGTTGTGAAGGCCCCAGGGACCTGGCAGGCAACCTCTTCTCCAGCTTCCCACTTAGTGAGAGGTAAGCACTTTCTCATGGTCAGTGACAGCATTGTAGCTGGAGAAGCTTAGGGGCAATGCAGATTGCCTTGTAAATATAGAGGCCTTTCCAGGCAAAGACGACCTCAGAAATCATTCCCTCCAACCCCTTGTTCTACAAAAGCAGATACTGAGGCTAGACAAGTGGTTTGGCCAAGGTCACAAAGCAAGTCGGTGAGGGCCCCTACAAGCCAGGGTCCTGACTGGACTCCCCAGGTGGCCTCCCCTCCAGGAGGGTCTGTCCCTGACTAGCTTTTAAGTCAGTTGCTGGCCCTTTGGCAAAACTCTGCCCCGTGCTGCGTACCACCGAGTCCTACTCAAGTGCTGGGGACCCAGCTGGGCAGAGCCGGGACAGCTGCTACATATGTATTTTTGCATACTTTTGAGAAACCACAAGAAAAAGCGCAATTCTGAATCTCTTTATTTACAAACAGTTGGAAATGCTGTGTTCCATTTGGGAGCAGGGATGGGTTTGGAGCATAAGGGCTGGGGTGGGATAGAGGGCTGATTCCAGTAGTTCTCATTATTCAGCACCAGAGCAAATGCTTGGGCTTAAGGTCATACTTTAACTTAGGTGAATCATCGTCATCTTGTCTCATAGGTACAGTATATATGCTCTTCTTATGGCTTTGTCCCGGAACACATTGCTATTAACAAAAATCTAAAGTCTAGAGAAAAGTTCCAAACGCATTATGAGCTTATTTTCTTTTTCAAAAAAAAAAAAAAAAAATGATGGCCAAGACTGGTGCCGAGCGGGTGCCTGAGGCACGGGAACCGCTCGGCTGTTTGGGCTCATCGGGCTCAGCCGAGCCTGTGCCGCCATCTTGCATCCTGCCCCCGGGGTGCAGCTGGGTAGCTAAATGAGGCCTGAACATGGAGAGAGAACAAATCTGCACTCTTCCCGTCCCTCCCTCCAAGGGCGGACTCACAGTTACCACCGCCTAGGGCATGGAGCAACACTGCAGCCCCACAGCTGTGTGTCTTCCCCTCAGAGCAGGTCACAAGGTAGAATTCAGTCTTGGGGTCACTCTTCTTGAGGTTGGTTCCCTTCCCCTTTGTAAGGTCCTGGCACACGGGAGCTGGCTTTCCACAAACAAGCCGCTCAATGTGACCATGGCATTACAAGTCCCCCGTGTTATCAGAGGGTGGAAGGGTGAATATTTGATTTCAGGGTTCCCAGGAGGGTGTGGCAGCTCATGGGGAAGTTCTGAAATTGGGGAGCTGGGGTGGACAGGGGACCCACATCCCACATGGGTACCCACTAACTTTGGGTGTCCGTGAAAGGAGGCCTTCCTTCTTCACCTGTTAGGGGGTGTGTGCCACTTGAGATTAACTACTCTCCCACCCCCACCTTCTTTCAGCCCTGTTGTAGCCCATCGTCATTTAACCTGCTCTCTTCCAGAACCCTACATGGTGTGCTCTCGTCCTCAGTCCGAAGCTTCCCTCCCTGCCTGGAGCTAAAGAATCCTCCCTTTTTTTGTCATTAATGCTAACCTCCCTAAGCTTGTACATCTCCCATTGCAGCCTTCACTCAGTCTGGGCCATTACTGTTGACTGGCCGGCCCAAAGAAAGCAACCCCACCTCCTCCTGGGACGAGAGAGTGGCTGAGAGAAACTGATGGCCAGAAAGCATCAAATGTTGGGTGGCAGAATCCCCCCCCCCATTCCTTCTCAGTAGTCTTGTAGCCTTAGGAGGTATTGCTAGAGGTCAGGAGGGGGACATAAGGTGATATTTAGAATCCACTTGTGGGTTGTTTTGGCCCATCTCTGGAATATCCCAGGCATTGGCCATTTCCCATAATTGGCAGCTTTGATGGCCCTGAATCTGAGTCACCTAAGTGGCACCTGTCAGTATGGGGTATAAAGGCCTGCAAACTTACAATCAGCCTGATACATCCATCCCACAGGATTTGCTCCAGAGCAGGATTCAGGTAAAAGTAGATCTGTCTGCCCTGGGCCTCTCTCTAGGCACCTTTTTCCTCTTCCCTTATTCTCACCACCTTGCTTTGCCCAGCTGGTCTCCTCATCCTCTCACTGTTGTAAGGCTTGCCCAACTAAAGTGGCAGGCACATGTGCCCACTTTCCCCTGAGTGCATGACGAAAGAGAACCACCAAATGGACCTTGCACGGTCTGCACAGCAATGCTCTAGGCCTTGACTGCAAAATTTTCTTCTCATGTGCCATGTTCCTGCCAGCTCTCTGTCCCACATGAGTGCTTGACAGAATTCTGGAGGAAGTGCCAATAACAAGGGCACTCTGAGCCAGTTTAGCCCTATGATTTCACTTCCCAATAAACACCACTCATCTCCAGGTGGACAAGGAGGTAGTTCAACCCCAACACGAGGGGGAAAGACACGCCACCTTCCTTCACTGCTTGCCCCACTTGTCACGCAGAAGGCCGGTTCCCAGGGCCTCTGGAAAGGGGTGTTTCTGTCACAAGAAATGCTGGGCTCTGCCTACAAGTTGCTGGTTCAGGCCTCTTGTCTCGGGCTTCAATGGGACAGCTGGGTGGTGCCCCTTTTACCCAAGAGTGTGTGTGGTTCTACCCCTCGAATCTACCCGCTCACTTCCTTCCTGTGATGAGGGGGCAGTAACTTCAAACAACTCAGCAGGAATGCTTAGGGTCTGCATCCTGTTGGGCAAACCTAGGGCCAGGATAACTACAGCCCTCCCCAGTCCGTTCAGATGCTGAGCTCAGAACCGAGGCTCCCACAGTGCTCTCTGAAACTCTTCAGAGCCTCCCTTCACTCAAACATAGGACGGAGGCCATGAGAACACCACAACTCATTTCCTGGTTGGTCCAAGCCAGTTCTACAGGAATCCAGGATGAGCTGTTGGAAAAAAGTGCCAGAGTCACAATGGAACCAGCTAGTCCTTAACACCAAGGACTTCAGCAGGGTTATTAGAGAGCAGGAAAGGAGTATACTGTAAAATTCCAACTACATTTTCAGGTTGCCTATGGTCTGCACCCTGGATGGCATGTCATAGAACAGGTACGTGCAAGTAGCGCCCCCTATGGGTATACTACATAGTTTGGTACATCAAACTGTTACTTGAGGTCTATGAAACTGTTAACTGGTCAGAAATGGGGAAAGCCATTCCATAACAGCATCCTGTAAGGAGAAGCTTCAGGAGATATTTACCATCTGCTAGACTTGGAGCCAAAGCAAAGCAGCTCCTCCTTCCTTTGTTATATAGGATATTTTTCTTTGTCGAGTTTCCCACAGATTAAGGTAGTTTGGGAAAACAAGTTAAATCGATGAGAAGGGACAACCTGGAGCACATTAGGCCTTACGTGGTGCTCTCCTTGACAAAATTGTCCTCTGAATAAGAAATTAAGGGCCACAGTAGATGACCTTTTATATATCTGGCCTGAAGCAAACCTTCGTTTATGCACCACATTTCTGGAACTGGAAAGAAGTGATACATTGCAATGTCAGGTTGCAGTGCCTAAAGTGAGTAGGTTGGCATTTGCCTTGGACTCAACTGTTTCTGTTGGTGACAGGTTTATTATGGCAGAGCTCAGGTGGCAGGAGGCAACGTGCAGGGCCCTTAGGAGCAGGAAGTAGCAGGTTGAGGGAACAGCCGCTTCCACAGGTGGTGCACGTGGTGGGGGTAGGTATAAGGACCAAAGCAGAAGGCACCCCACTTGGTGCAAGACTCCCAGAGGTGCTCTGCATCTTTCCTTAAAGTAGAGTGATTCTAAGTGATGCTAAGGAGGTTTGTATAGTTTGTCTGCCTGGAAACCTCCCTGCAGAGCCCAGGTGCTGGGCTGAGTGGAGAATGAGGGAGAGCTGGTCCCAAGGCCTTCCCGTAACAGAGCTCAGGGTCTCCCTGCAGAGCTGCAGCTCCTGTAACTATTACCCTTTAAACACCACCCAGGCACCCCCAGTGTCCCTGCCCTCCTCCCTGGCCCGCATGGTGTGGCTCTTGTAGTCTGCCAGCAGCCTTTACTTTTCATCCTCATCCCCCTCACTCAGGCTGCTGATGGAGGCTGAGGCAGCTTTGGGTGAGGAGGGGGGTGAGCTTTTGATCGGGAGCCACGAGAAGGTGGGCGATGGCGAGCGGGAAGGGGACCGGCTCCTGGTGGGGCTGCTCACAGGGCTTTGCTTTGGGGACAGGGCCTGCAGCATCCGGCTACTCCTCTCCTGGAACATCTGCTTCTGGAGAGAAATTGGAGAGAAGGCATCTGTTAGCTGAGACATCTGAGATGGCAGCGAAACAGAAAGGAAAGGCGGGAAGGGGAGCCACCGGCCCAAACGCCTGCCCTCCCGTGCAGACTTGTACTACAGCCCGTGTGGGCCAAGACTCTCTCTCTGGAGGAGCTGTGTGAAATTGAGGCCCAGGGAGCTGCTGACACACCAGGATACATCACTGCCGGTGCCCAGCGTGCTTTCCTTCATGCCGCCTTCTCTTCCATTTACAAAATCTAAGCGAGAGTCTAGTGTTTGCCAAGCAAATAGCAGTGTCCTTGGTACCAGAAGACTATGAAGGAGAATGTCACAAACCAAATCCACAAAATATGTAGTGTGTCACATGGAACTGTGGTCTGTGAGAAAACTAAAATGATAGGATAGCAAGGAAAACGATGAGAGAGGGATGTGAGCCTGAGGACACGTGGGCTGCGGTTGTAAACAGGGCTCAGGGGAGGCCACACTGAGAAGGCACTACTTGAGCAAAGACCTGAAAGAGATGGGGGAGAAGGCCACGTGCAGGGCGATTAGGAGCAGGTGCATTCCAGACAGGAGCCCAAGAGGGGAGCATACGGTTCATGTGCAAGGATGAACAAGGAGGCTATAGGGGCTGGAGTGAAGACACCTGGGCGAGGAAGGGTATGGGGGGCGGGGTTAGAGGCAGGTCACCAGAAAAGTCACGGAGAACTGTGTTATGTAGGGTCTTGGTGGCCATGTGAGAATTTTGGCCTTTACTCTGAGGAGAAGAGAAACCTCTGTAGTTCTGAGCAAGAGAGTAACAAGCCGACTTTTGTTCTGAAGGGCCAGTCTGGCTGCTGTGCTGGCAGCAGACTACAGCGGATGAGGACAAGGCAGGGGGAACAGCTGGGAGCCCTCTGCAACAAGAATCCAGGTCTGTGGTGGCACCTTGCACCAAGGTGATGGCCATGAGGGTGCTGAGAAATTCTGGGAGTCCAGGTATGTTCTTTTCCCACAGTTTTGTTACAATATCATTTACTTAAACTTTTCAGCATACAGTTCTGTGAGTTTTGATAAATGCCTACAGTTGTGTGATTACCACCACAAAGAAATTACAGGAATGTTCCTTCAGTGCCCAGTTCCCTTGGGACTGTTTCTAGGCACCCCCTCCCTCAGCCTCTGGCAATGGACCTGGTTTCTGTTCTGTGGTTTTGAAATATCATCTAAATAGAATCGTGCAGTAATGTGGTCTGGCCACACATTGAAGGCAGAGCCAAGAGGACTCGCTGACAGATGGGATGTGGGGTGTGGGAGGAAGAAGAATCAAGCGATTCCAGTTCCTAGCCTGTGAAACTGGAAAGTCAGCGATGGCATTTGCTGGTACAGGGGACTGGGGGGTTTTGTGCAGGAGGTTTGGGGGTAAAATAGACTTTCCAATCTGGGCCCTCAGGTGACTGTTGCCTGGTGCTTTGGGGACTGAGCCCTTCCCTGGCACTGCCCTTCTGGGGAGCCCAGTCATAGCCCCAAGCCCCTGTGTGTCAGGCCTCCCAGAGCTGCCAGCAACTGTAACCTTCTGCTCTTTGCCTGTGGCACGCCCCCTTCCCCCAACTCTGTTCCATCCACTTCTGAGCACCCTGCCCATGCTCTTTCCTCATTTCTTTCCTTCGCTTGTCACCAAGACTCAGCAGCTCTGTCCAATCTTTTGATCCTAAACTGACCCTCAGAATCAATTCTCCTATTAGTTATTTTGGGCTTTGTTACTGTTTGAGTTATTCATTTTACAACCCACTACTAAACCCTCTTAGGAGCAGGCGCTGTACAGGAGGTGGTCAAGTCTGAGCTGGGGCTTTAGTCATGCTCGGGAAGAGGGGCTTGGGTGGAGAGGGAGCCGTGTGCTGGTGCAGGGAGCCAAGTAGAGAATACTGAGGATGAGTGCCTGTTGAGTGGTAGTAGCCTGGGACTGGAACCCAAGGAGGAGGTTGGATTTTTTTTCCCCCCAGAAGTCCCTGGAAGACTTCAGTCAAGGCAGGGGTATGCTCAAATTGGTGTTTTAGAACTATCTTTGGGAGTGAGCATAAAAGCAAGGAAAGAAACCATAAAGGAAAAAATTAGTGTTTGGCTATATAAAAATTTCAGAACCTTGCCCTGGCCAGGGTGGCTCAGTTGGTTGGAGCGTCATCCCGTAAACTGAAAGGTCTTGGGCTCAGTCCCAGTCTGGGCGTGTATAAGAGGCAACGGATCCATGTTTCCTTCTCACATCAATGCTTCCTTCCCTCTCTCTCCCCCTCCCTTCCCCTCTCTCTAAAATCAATAAGCATGTCGTTGGGTGAGGATAAAAAATAATAAAAAGTAAAAAGTAAAAATTTCTGAACCTAAAAAAAAAAAGGCACCATGAAATAGGTAAAAAGAAAAAGGAAAACATGGAAAAATTTTGGAACATTTAACTATAAATTGTGGGTCTTAGTATATAAACAAAGCTTAAAAATAAAGAAAATGTAAAAAGACTTCATAGAAAGAGGAGCCTATGGCATATACAGGCAATTCACAAGACCTAAAAATGAACCATAAAAATTGTTTGGCATGACTAGTAAACAAACAAATGTAAAATGACTAAAGTGCGATTTTTGTATATATTAGGTTGTTAAGGATATTTTAACCTTCCCAACTTAAATTTTTTTCCAGATATAGTTGACATATGGCACTTTGTAAGTGGAAGGTGTACAGTTCCGTGTTTTCATGTTCTTTTGTGTAATTACTACAGGTTTTTCCCTTGTGGTTACCACCAGGCTTACACTGAATAGCTTAACATTATAACACTCTATTTTAAACTGATACTTCAATGAAATTCCTAAACTTCATGCTTTCACTTCTGCTCCCCCTCACGTTTCAGGTTATTGATGTTACAGTTAACGTATGCTTTTATTGTGTAAACGGTAACAGCTTATTGCAGTTCTGGTTATTTTTATTACGTGTTCTAGCTTTTACATAAGAATCGTGAGTGAATTACATATCACCATTACCACATTAGAGAATCTAAATTTGACTATGTATTGACCATTACCAGTCAGTTTTATGCTACCCTCTTTGTTGTTGTTTTTTTCTTTTTTTTGTGGGGGAGGGTGTTGAGGGAGATGGAGGGGAAGATTCAAGGTTGCAATTTAAATTTTTTCCCGTTTCATTTTTATCTTTGGAGATCTTAAAGACTGTGGCAGAGAAGGGGCTTGAAACAATCAGTACTCTGATCCTGGCAGACCTGCAGCACCCAAGTCCTAGTCCAAACCAGCAGATTTGCTGGTCAGGCCCTGTAGATTCGAGATGTGGGGCGAGATGGATTGGGGGCTCCCAAGAAGTGACCTACAATGATGGGGGAGCTAGATGTCTGCCCCGGGCTCTCTTTTCCCACTGAGGGAACCCTAGGTTCAGGGGAGACCTCCTGGCATGGCGCTTTGCCAGTCAGGGTGGACGGCTGCCCCTGTAACCTTTCTAATGTGGCCAGTCTAGGGCTTGGTGGTGTAGAGGGTGTTTAAGCCTCACCCATGTGTTCTAGGATTCTCCTTGAGTGTCTCGTCCATGACTAGTTGTTACTTCTTGTGAGGGGGAGCCATGTCCATAATGATCCATGTCGCCATCTTGTTCATGTCACTCTCCCAAGAATCTTAAAAATCTGCAATGGCCAGGGTTGGTGACAGTTCAGAGAAAAGATCGCACTCATGTTCCTGCTAGCACAAGGGAAAAGAGTGTTTTCCTGAGGGGTAATTTGGAAATAGGTGCAAAAACTTTTTTCCTGGAGAGATAATCAGAGATGGATGTAAATATTTATTCTGTACCTGGGTATTCAGTGCCGTGTCATAACACACAAATCTGAAAACTCCCTAAATAGATGAGAGAGATCTTGCACAACTCAGAGGTTGTACTAAGCAGCTGATGAAAATCAAGTCCTTAAAGAATACTTAATAGTGTGAGAAAATGTTCATGAGCTATTACAAAGTAATAAAAATGATTTTTGAACAGTGTGTTCTGCATGATCCCAATTTTGTAAAAGGTATTATATACAGGGGTGGGGCAAAAATAGGTTTACAGTTGTTGATATAGGTATTATGGCCAGGCTTTCAGATTTCATAAAATTATTATGAAAATAATTCATAAATAATTCCAGAATAAACTATTTCGTGTACTCACAACTGGAAACCTACTTTTGCCCCACCCTGTACGTGTAGATGGGAAAAAAGATTAGGGTAACACCCCCAAAACATTAACAGTGACAACTCTGGGGTGCTGAGCCTGCAGGTGACTTTTAGTCTCTTTTTATTCTCTATTTCCTAGTAGTTCTGTAATGAACATATATTACTTTTATCATCATAAAAAAGCAGTAATAACAGGGAGAAAGAGAGAAGACTTTAGCAAGGTTAGACTGAAGGATGCTGCTACAGTGACACAAGTGAGAAAATACTAAGGCCCCAGGCACACCATCCATGCCCCCCAGCACTCATTTTCCCTTTATAAGCTGTAGCTAGCCCATTACTCTCTAGACTCTTGAGTCTCCTCTAGCAAATATAATAGTGATGATTTACTGATCACTAAGATTAATTCCAGATTTAAAAATCCCACCATTCTGCAAGCACACCAATTATTCACCTTCCATTAAAGATACTGATAATGCTGCCAAAATGCCCCACTCCTCTCAGAATCAAACACAACAAATGCTATAGCTTAAGCCCATTTATGACACAAAATCAAATGCCAAAAGGATAGGGTGGCGTATTATTAACAGCAACATAAAAAAAAATCCTTGAACTTCCAGCGTGCACTTTAAAATACGTATTTTTATTACTATAATCTTTAAGTATAATTTTAGTAGCACCCATTAGCCCTCCTGCTTTTAATGGATTGTCAGCATTTCCATTAGAAGCCCACTTTCTAAGGAACCTACAACTTGTCTACTGTATTTGACTCAAGCTCATAACTGAGAACATTCCGCCTAAGGGGATGAAATCATTTGAACCTTTAATGAT